CATCTGCCCCTTGCCCTCAGCAGAAACATGGAGCCTGTCCACAGTACGGGAAAAGAGAACCTTTCAGGCAATTTCCTTCTGCCTTCATCCTCTTCCACATGCCCTGATGGTGCTGTGCGGGACTGCTGTTTACAAAGGGAAGTGGGGGACCACCCCACACACTACCCCCACACTTCCTACTCTGCTCTTCTTGTTTCAACCCTTATGGAAACCAGACTAGAAGCCACTAAAAAGCTGCCTAACATTTCAAAACAAACCATGCAAATCATGTCCCACCCATGGTTTTCTAACCAAAATGAACCTGCCCTTACTCTGAAGCCTGGGTCCATCATTTTTCCTCCCATGTGGTGGGAAGTCTCTTTTGGTGAAGAGACTCAAAAGAGCTTCTTTTGGGCTCAGCCACTTGTCTCCCCCTGGGGACTAGTTAGCATCACACACGTGATAGGTGCACATGAACCACGCTCCTCTCTGCTCTCCTGCCATCACATGGACAACACCGTTTTCCATCCCCAGGAAAGAAAAAGCCCACGATTCCTCCCCTACTGTCTTCCCCAGACTGCAAGCCTCTGAACAGCGGAGCAACGAGTGCAACTACTGCCATGTGCCTTGTGTGTGCACACAGTTAAGTAAGAGGCAGTCCTCACCCATGGAGGCTCAAGGCCCACAAAGGAAGCCTCTGGCCAGGCTCCATCCACAGACTGGCCCCTCTCTGGAGGGAAGCCAGCAGTGAAGAGCCTCCAGAAAAAAGTACTGTGTCCATCTGCAACTGTGGTCCCAGTTGGCAGGGCAGAAGAATCAAATAAGTTAAAAGGGAGAGACGTGTGCAGATGTGTTCATACTTACCTTCTGATGACAGACATCGTGTAGATGTGTCTCTTTTGGCCTTACTATAAAAATACATTGAGTAATTCAATGCAAATACACTTTCTTGCTAATATTTTAGTGGTGTGGATCCGAATTCTCTTAGTGTACTCGGGTGCTTCTTCACATCTCATTTTAAACTGAGCATTAAGGAAATACGGTATTTTAATGGAGCTCTGCCAATACTCTTATCTAGAAGCCTGCTGCCATTTTTGTCTTCTATGAAATTTCTGTCCAAGGAAAGGCAGGATTCCATTTTTTTCTAACAGACTGAGTTGGTGTAGTACATTCCTGGTTATCAAAATACTCACAGAGCTTTGGGATTCTGAATTGGTAAATATTCATGACGTGTGAAAAGGCCTGGTACATACTGTACAGCCTCGATCACACAAGAGGGAGTGTTGCGTATGCACACACAGTGGACCCAGAAGGACACATCACACTGTAAACTGTGGTTGTGGATGACTTTGTTCTTTGCTTCTCGCCTTTTTCAGTTTCTGGTAGTGAATGTGTTAAATCTTAAACAGTAGGAGAGTCACCTAGAAGAAAGCCTATAGAATGTACCTCTCCAGGGTCTACTCCCCAGAGTCCAAGGCAGCACAAGCACCCTCAGCTGATTCTGATATAGGGAGACACCGACCATGTCTCCAGAAATAAAGGTCTAAGACTTATGGGAAGCTGTCACACAGCTTTAAACTGATTATTATTTTTAACTGTTTCACAATTACATTGATATGGTTATAACCAGGGTTGAGCTTATTCAAAATGGTTAATGTCCTGCTGTCCTTTTACTTGGGTCATCTTTCCCACCACCAATATTTTATTATGGAAAATATAAAATATACTGAAAAGTTGAAAAAACTTTATCACACACACCCATATAAACACTGCCCAGATTCTACGATTTAACATTTTTGCTATATTTGCTTTATTACATGTCTATCCACCCATCTATCCTTCTATTTTTATTTTCAGGATATGTGTGCCTTATACTTAGATTTTTTAAATTTAAAGTTTGATCACCTGCAGGTCAATCTCCATTCACAAATGCATTTCTTCAGGGTATCATGGACTTCTAATTGCATAGAAATTATTCTTAAGGAATCTCATGGCAAATCCCTTGGAAACGTACATCAATATACAGTGAAAAATAAAGATGTCCATATAGAGCTGGGCACATTTATTGAAATGCAAACATGGGCCCATCCAAGTCACACGTGCATTAAGGCAGTGCTGGAGGGAATGACTGGCCCAGGGTGTGGGGCTCACCTCTGCCCCTGCAGGGCTCAATCAGTACCTGGCTCTTGTCTCAAAGCAACCCGTTTCCGGGTCTTTAAGCTGCATACACCTGAGTGCTCAGGTAGGTGACTGACTGGGCAGGCCTGTGTTCCTGCACCTACCTCTGCAGGTATTTAAGAAGGGCGGGCCTCCGCTGCCATACAGCAGCCACCAGCTCTGTCAATGCAACCAAGGCAGTGCTGCCCAAAGCCAACGCCAAATGCAAACCCCTTGGCCAGTGTCTCTCCAACACCTGCCACAGGCCAGGGACTACTATGGACACTGAGAGCCCATCTGTGAGCAGCACAAAGCAAACTTCTGCTCCAGGGTCCTAGTCCAGTGGGCTGCAGGGAAGCGGGGACAGAACGTAGGCTCACACACCAGGCAGGCCTGGCCCCATGGAGCTCCAGTGAGCTTCTGAAAGACACACCACAGTATCCCCTCGTGAGGCTGGCACATGCCACACAACCTCCGCGTCTGGGCCCTGTGACCCTGCCGGCCTCATCTCTCACTGCTCGCCTGACACAGCAGGCCCTCATCCTGACCGCGGGAGTCCTCCTGCGCGCTGCTTCCTCAGCCTCCCAGGCCTTGGCTTGACTCTCTACATGACTCTACATGACTCTCCCTATTTGGGTGACTCTCTTTTGCCATTTTAGGTGTCACTTTTACCACAGCCTCCCCAGGAACAGCACTTACGATGCCGTGTCACAGCCAGGTGCCCGCCCGCCTCTCTCCCCAGACGGCAAGTCCATGTGCTCACCTGGCTCTTCCATTCCTGCACCCATATTGGTCAATTAACATTACTGCATGAGGGAGACAAAGTTCCACAAACACAGAAGGGTTTCAAGGCTGAGAGGAGGACGAGGGAGGGAATCACAAATCCTTCTAAGCATCCTGTAAGGATGGAAGACAGCCTTTAAAGCTATTATAACTACTTCAATACAAGGATGAGAGCCCACCACTGTCTCCTTAAGCCCTGACACTGTGGGCATGAAGAAGGATACAACTCACACCTCTCTGTGTTGGCCTGGGCTCCACTGACCGGGCCCGATTCATCACCCGCCTCAGCCACTCGGTATCTGCAAACCAATGTTGGTCACTACCTGTCCCTGAGTTAATGTCTCACGCAGATAGGCATGATTTCTCTTTCTATCATGATCAATAAAATAAATACAAGACTGAATGCATTACAAAACTCATGGTAACTTCTCCCTATGAAAGTTATTAATCGATATGACAAATATTGCTATTACTAAGCAGGATGAAATTTGACAATATGAGAAAGGAGTAACCAAGTCACACTGCTCTAATAGTTCAAAAGCTCCCTGCCGCAGGGAGCTCTCTGCTCTTGGCACCAGGCACGGCACCCCACACAGTGGGAATAGTGTCTGCAGGATTGGGTGAGGGTGCTCAGGGGAGGCCGGGAACGAACACGGAGACTGGATCCGGAGACCCACCACCACTGGACAGTCTCAGGTGAGCTGCGGGAGCTACACTGCACCAAGGAGTAGGAGGAGCTGCTGAGCAGCTGGGGGTAGGTTATGTGTGACAGTCCCCGATCCTCCCAACCTGGGCCTCTCCAGCAGGTCACAATCCCCAATCCTCCCAACCGGGCCCCTCCAGCAGGTGAGAAAGCCCAGTTGGGACCTGCCTACATCGTAGAGCCCATCTGTGCTTCTCATAATTGACAAAACCAGTAGACCAATTCCAGACAAAGCCAAAAGCCAGCCCCCCACCTACCCCTTGCTCAGGCCCAGGGTGCCTCTGCATTTACCTTCTCAGCCGGGGGTAAAGTGAGTCACCCTGTCACTCGCAGTCCTCTGGAGACACTCCCTGAGTCTGAGGAAAAGGACCTGGGCCCCAGCCTCTTTCTCCCAGCCCAGAGACTCCAGGGCAGCCTGACAGCACATGGAGTGCTTCAGCCAACAGCCCCCCGAGCAAGCCTGCTGCACCACGCAGGAGTCAGGGCAACTTGCGGCTCCCCAGACCTGTGTCCAGGCACCTAAGACACTTCCTGGCTGAAGGAAAGAGCTGAGATGATCTCTTAGCATCCACCAACTCCACTCCACATGTGCCGGCCTCTTATACTCAGCTAGTTCAAGTCTCCTGAGTGGAAGAGTCCTCACAAGCCACCAGACCACTCCCAAATCCCTCAGATGGACAACAGGAACAAAGTTCCTAAAAGCTCAGAAGAGGGGGTCCTGGATACCACTGCTGACACAAGGCCATAGGGGCTGGTGGTTGACACATCAGTTACCTCACCTGAGTCTGGGTTGCCATCTACCTTTGACCCCTTCACCCACATGCACCCGTGGGATACGATTTAAAGCCTGCTTCCACTGGCCAGATGACTACTGTACCTGCCAAGACACACTCTATGGCAATGCTTCTCAACCATCCTAATGCCGCAATGTATTATCATTGTTACAAAGGGGTCGCCACCCACAGGTGGAGAATGCCTGCTCTATGGGGACTTCACCACTTTCATCTTTAAAACCTCATACAGCAGTACTAGTCCTGTTCCATATGGGAGAAAAACGAGTCCTAGAAAATTAACCACAGAAACGGCAAGAAGTCTTTTAAAAAAGAAAAAAAGGAGCTGAATGTGAATAGAAGGTCATCACGGTGACCCGGGTGGGAGAAGGCAAACCCTAAAAGAAATCATTGCCTTCCACCAACCAAGCACAGCCCTCCCCCCATGCAGAGGAACAAAGAAGAGTCACAGGGGGCCCTGGGGAAGTCCAGGCAGTGGGATGCAGGAACACAGGTTCTGTCCCAAACCCCTCAGGACAGGCCAGCCTGACGGGCCCCTGAGGAAGACCTGGCAGCCCCTGCAGGAGCCCTGCGGCGAGGCCACCCACCTCCATGCGAGCCTTGTAGAAATCCACGTCGTGCAGCTTCTCCTTGCAGCGGGTCAGCTCCATCTCTAGCCTCTCCACGCGGTTTGCCTTCTCCCTCAGGGAATCCAGCTCATCCCGATAGGCACGAGCAGACCGGGCGTCTGCTGCCAGTTGGATGTTCTGGAAGGTGAACAAAGGCAGGGGAACCTAGCTTAGGAAGGCCAAGGAACAAGCTGGCTCCTGGGGGGTGCAATGCTCCATGCGCATGCTATCACGGGGTCTCTGCATGCTACTGCTAGGAAATGGTCATCCCCACAGCAGCACTCAGGACAACAGGCTCTCGGGCAGCATCGCTGGGAGAGCCAACATGGCGCTGCTGACCCTCTAGGGCATACTGCTGGGGGCCCCAGACCTGCCTCCCCCGGGCATATTCAGGCCTTCTGCTCACCTCCTGTTTGACTTTCTGCAGCTCTAGCACCAGCTGATCCACCTCGTGTCTGGTGTCTGCAAGCTGCTCTGTCTTCTCCTCCCTGCAGGGACAATCAGAAGGAGGGCACAGGAGGGGGATTCCTCAGACAGCTTTTCCAAGACCCCAGTGGGGAAAAGGAGGAACCTGGGCTTCTAGTGGTGGGGAGATCTGCTTATGGAGTCTACAATAATGTTCCCAATTCAAAAATTTTTTCCTTTTTTTAAGTTTTCAACCTCTGTCCTCAAACTATGTCTACCTGGGTTTTCCTCTGTGTGGGGCAGGTAAGGTGACCCCAACCACAGTTGGGCCACTCCACAGGTGAACAGCATGGGCCTGCCAAGGTAGGTGGACAGCTCATGACTGGCCAACTGACATCCACCAGCTACAGGAAGCTCAGAGAACGGGCTCACCAGATGGGGTGAGGTACCTTCTCCCTCCAGCCAAGAAAACAAACCAGCACATGGTCACTGCAGCCCCAAAGTGGGCTGGAGTGTGGCACAGTTTACTTCTGTAGACAATCTGTAATACTGGGACTGGTAGGAATCCTAAAGAGCAGGAAGAAGCCCCCCTTCCCTGGGAAGGAGAGCTAACTAGACTGGTCAAAGGCTGAGCTCAGAGAAGACCTCAGTTAACTTTAGGGCCTGCATGAGAGTGGTGCCAATGGCAGCAGCACCACCTGTGAGTGGATGGCACTCTAAGATCACAGTGGTGACACAGCATACACCAGTAGGAGCAGCAGCTGGGGACTTACAGGTCCTGCCTGACGCGCCGCAGCCTGGCCTTGGTGTCAGCCAGCTCCACGGCCAGGTGCTGCTTGTCTTCACTGGAGAGGCTGCTGGTGGGGCTGGGCGTGGAGTCTGCGCTGGAAGACTTGACAGGGCTGGGAGGGTGCTGTGACTGGAGGTAGTCCCGCTCCTGGGTCAGGTCCACGATCAGCTGTGGCAGGGCAGAGAGGGGGACGGAGAAGAATGAAAGGGTTTAACCAGTGTGCACCTGATCCCAGCACAGTACCTGAACTCCAAGTGGGTGGGGGGAAAAAAACGCCTAAGGACAAGAGAAGATTTCAGCTGAGACCAAGAAGCCAGGAAGGTGGCAGAAGAAGGGGATGTAAGTTTTCAAAAAGAGATGAAATTGTTAGTGGGGCAAAAGAGGGGTGTTTAAATGGAGGATCCCAATCTCAGCATTCTGATCTCCTCTATCCTCCCTCAGGTGTCTCTGGGTAACCATTCCTTGTAGGACCACAGGCAGGGAAAGTGCCCATGTCCCAGCTCTGCAGGGCAAGAGCCCTTCAAGCTGGAGATGGACAGAGAAAAGGAGAGCAGCTGGGCCCCTGCAACCCAGGCCCAAGGCCTTTCCACCTGCAGCAGAGTGGCTGGCCTGCAGACACACCTCTGTGCATTCGTCCCGCTGATCAATGAGCCTCCGGAGATGAAGCACCATGTTCCTGGAAAGGGCCTCCAGCTCCTCTGGGGCCACGTCGGGAAGCTCCAGCCACTGCAGGTCAAACACGTTCTCCTGGTTGTGGGTCACCTGTGGGCACACACGGTCCAGCACTTCAGAGGACAGGAGAAGCAGCCCTAAGGGCTCCCAAGAGCAGCCACCTGCCCATAGTCATGTGCAGCTGCCCAGGCGAAGTGGGCACCTGTCTCCCTCAAGTACTGTAAATGGCATCTCGTTCCACCGTTACTGATCCCTTAGTGACAGATTTTCTGTGGCAAGCAGAAGGGTGCCCTAAGTGCATGTGGCCAAACTCTTCAGCAGCATTCCATTACTACGCATACGCAATGCTTCTGCTTTCAAAACCGGTTCATAGAAGATACCATTTTTTTTTGGTAGTACCAGAAAGCACTTCTTATGATCATCATTTTTCTAAAACAGCGGTTTACAACCCCTTTGTAACAATGAAAATACATCCTGCATATCAGATATTTACATTACGATTCATAACAATAGCAAAATCGAAGTTATGAAGTAGCAATGAAAATAATTTTATGGTTGGGGGTCACCACAACCTGAGGAACTGTATTAAAGGGTCGTGCCATTAGGAAGGCTGAGAACCACTGTCCTAGAAGATCCTGAGATAAGGTATCTTCATTGGAGCTACATCTGTTTACAACACAGAGAAGGTAAGCTTCAGGGTGGGAGGATAAGGAAATGGACTCTTACTGCTTAAAAGAAAGTCTAATGCAAACAGAGCAAAAATATTAAGAATCTTATGTCAAGTCGAGCAGCGAGGTGGCTCTTGCCTATAGTCCCAACTAGTCTGGAGGCTGCAGTGAGCTGTGATCATACCTTTGCACTCCAGCCTGGGCAACACAGTGAGACCCCCATCTATGCCCTCCCTACCAAAATCTTGTCAGAACGTTGGGTATGGCAATCTTGGAGGGTTTGAGGGGGAACTATTCAGAATCTAAAATAATTTTCAGGGACAGGTATATCTTGTTCCCTCAGGCCACAGAAGATGTCTGGTTGTGTCCCTTTCCCTGGGCAGGAACCCATAGCTCTATCCACATGGAGTGGCCTCTTTCCAGCCCTGCTGACCTGACCTTCTCAATCCAGACCCTCAGATATTTCAGAGGAGGCAGAGGATCTTTTCGAGTCCTCATCCTCATTTTTTGAAGACAAATATCATAATGCTCGGGGCTCAGAGGGGAACACAAAAGCAAAGAACCTAGGAGTATATTCTCAGTGGAGCCCATCAGCAAATGTCCTTAAATTATTCAAAGCAGTAAATGGAGGTAAACGGCTATAAGACAGGCAGCGCCTATGGCACAGTGGGTAGGGTGCCGGCTCCATATACCGAAGGCGGTGGGTTCAAACCCGCCCCCACCAAACTGCAACAAAAAATAGCCAGGTGTTGTGGCAGACACCTACAGTCCCAGCTACTTGGGAGGCTGAGGCAAGAGAATCGCCTAAGCCCAGGAGTTGGAGGCTGCTGTAAGCTGTGATGCCATAGCAGTCTACCGAGGGCAATAAAGTGAGACTTTGTCTCTAAAATAAAATAAAAACAAGGAAGACAAACTCAAAAAATAAAAGGCCAAGACAAAGCCCGGTCACACAAGGGTCCTCAGTACTTCAAAAGACATGCCTTTCTTATCTCTCCCCACTTAAAAACACAGGTTTAGATACAGCTGACCTCTGAGGATTATAACTCTCATCCCAGGATAGGAGGTACTCTAAAGGCATGGGATTTGGAGGCCAGGTACGAGGGCTGACCCAGACTTATCCTTTTGAGTCTCAGGATCTCTCTTGAAAGTGGTGTGGTTGGGATCCAGGGGCTCAATCTGGCTGCATCATGGCTCAGTGCGTCTCTCACAGGGCCTGGGCACCTGAACTTTAAAAAAGCATCCAGGGAATGCTGGAGCCCAGTTCCCACTGCCACCCACTAAACCTGATAATCACGCAGGACTCTCTTGGTGGTGTGATTAATAATATATATATTCTGCTAGCTAGGCAGGAAAGACACTGAATAACAAAGAATTGGCTAATCTCAAGCCAACTGGCTAGTCTCTAGCTCTATCTAGGTAGATACACTTTCATAACACAGGGAAATTAAAGGGCAGAATGTTTCTTAGGCCAACAGGTGACCCATGAAGGTTGAGAACATTTACAATACTGACATCCTCCTAGCGTTGGTGTCACTGGTTCCCCTACCTCAACAAGCAAATCCTGGCTCAGCATCTGCTAGTCCATGGTGCTGGGGACTTGCTGAGGAAGCCCGTCTGCCCAGCTGAGACCAGTCGCTGAGTGACAAGAGTTCGGTGCTCAGCGTCTCTGTTAGTTACACACCAGCTCCTATGTGCTCACTACTTGTTCATACATTCAGCTCATTTGTTTAATCAGACCGAATGCTGAACCCATATTCCCTGAGATAACTGAAACATCCAACATTTATTTTGGAGGGAGGGTGAAGTGAAGGTCAGGGCAGCACAGGGGAGCCACTGTTTTGGCTGAGACCACCTCGGCCAATGTCACTGGAGGATCCTCCTCAACCACCACCACGACCCACGCCCAGGACCTGAGTTTGGGCTGGGCTAGGTTTTTGAGGCAGTTCTTCTAGGACTCTGATTTTGATTCCCAAGTGGTGGCAGCTTGTTTCGCTGCCATGTCAATGACAGAAACGGAATCTCTATAAAGATCAACCGTTCAAAGCTGGTTGACATTTGCCAGAATACATTTTCAGGGCCTATAAATCAAATTCTGAGCCTAAAACACTTGACAGCTCTTAAAAATAGTCTAAGTCCATATTAGGTAAGAAAAAGGAGGCAAAAGAAAGACTTGATTGAGGTGTTATTTTCTTTTTAATTTTTTATTTTTACACCCATTTTATTTTAGCTGGCTGATTGATGGCCACCTTTCCAAAGAGAAGCTATGCGTCTGTAACCTAAAATTAGCAAAATCCTTAACAGGTGATGTAATTTTTAAACTTTTCCACTCGTAGAAGGGTTCTGCCTCCCAGCTGCCATGACAGCAGCAGTCCATGGACCCACAAACCTACCTCCTGGATGTGGGCCACGATCCCAGCTTGGGTCTCAATGTCCAGCTGTTTGATTCTCTCAATAAACTCTTCTTTCTTCTCACACTGCAGAGGGAGTACATGTATTAATGGAAGCATTTTTCAAGTGATGGTAAACTTGAGGCTACCACAGCCACAGAAATACAGTTTAAAAATGACCTCCCCCCACACCCCACTTTCTTCTTTATTTTTTTTCTCTCTCTTTTTTTTAATTTCTTATAGCATAACTGTGTACATTAATGCAATCACGGGGTACAGTGTGCCACTTTCTTCTTTATAACCAAGAATACTCCCGATCTCCTACCAGCCCACATACAGGTGTTTTTCTAGAAGTCACCAAGAACACTTATGTCAGAATCACCTGGGCACCTTGTTTTCAAAAAGCCCATCAGTAAGCCCCCTCCCAGATTGAAAAATGCTGGGGTAGGACACACAAGTCTTCCTTTTAAACAAGCTCACCAGATGGTTCTTAAACATGTAAAGAGGAAGAGCACCTGGTTTAGGCCACGGGTAGCAAACTTCATCTGTAAAGGGCCAAATGGTAAATATTTTTGACTTTGTAAGCCATTTGATCTCTGTCACAACTATTCAACTCTGCCACTGTGATTGAGAAAGCAGCTGTACACAACATGTAATGGAAGGCCCGTGGCTGTGTTCCAATAAAACTTTATTTATAAATATAGGTGCTTACAAATACAGGAGGTAGGCAGACTCTGACCCACGGACTTTAGAAGTTCTTACAAGTTCTTTACAAGTCCTTGCAGGTCCTTGCTTTACAAGTTCCTATATGAGGACAATCTGCTAATGGTGGTCTGGCCTGAAAGAGCCCCACCGGGTCTTCTGCCCAGGGTGTGCTGGTAGCAGAAACCGCTGCCATCCCTAAGATGACAGCCTGTCTCTCCTAGGAACCCAGTGGCCTTTTGTCGTATTGGACAGAAGGGAGCATCACTCCTGCCTAACTAAGTAAAGGGCTTGTTTTATTCCCTCAAACCCTAACACTAGATGACTAAGGGTGGCACCGCTCCAGCCCCTGCCCACTTCCATTCCCCTACCTGGACAGCACAGCCAAGCACCAGCAGCAACACCTTCTTAATCTCCTCCATACTCTTCCCTAGATCAAAAGAGCAACGTATCTAATTAAGCTCAACTACTTATATAATTTCACCAGCAACACACATCTGCTCCAAAGGAAAAACAATTATTAGGTAACTTTTTTTTTCCAGTGGTAAGATAGGATTTTATTTGACATAAAGGAATACAGAAGGAGTAAAAAGAACCAGAGCTTCTGGCAAAGGAGAAGACCCAAGTCAGAAGTCTCCCCAGTTATTAGATAACTTAAAAACACGAACAAAGAAACTAACAAAACAACACCTCTCTACCCAGTGACAGCCACTTAGGTATACACATTCCATCTATTTTCTGCCTACAGGTTTATTTTTTAAACCGAATGAGAATTCAGCACATAACTATTTGAAGCACTCTTCCTTCAAACATAAGTATCTCTTATTGATAATTTTTTTTATTTTTTTTTCCCTCTTCATGATAATTAATGGACCTTAAACCAGCATTTCTTCTTAGTGTGGCTGGTAAGCAAAGTGCAATAGAATAGAACAATCTCACAGGAGTCAACTCTAAAATAAGGCTGTATTCAACTTTACCCTTTTTATTATGCAAAATTCCGAACACATGAGGAAGGGCAGTGTAATAAGCCCCCTTACACTCAGCATCACATTGTCAACATTCTGTCCATCTATCTCCTCCCCCCCCCCAATTTCTTCATAAATTTCATCATTTGGCTGGAGTATTCTAAAGCAAATTCTGAAAAACATATGGACATCATTTTTGATGGTTGCATACTTACTTGTACCAAAGCTGCTAACTTACTAAACCAATCCCCTTCCAAAGGTTCAACTTTTCAATCTCTCAATTTAAACAATCCTACAAAGAACATCTTGGAGGCGAATTCTTTACTTTCTTGGGGCAAACTCATCTTTTAAGCCTTTCATATTGCTAGACTCCCTTGTAGACAGGTACCCGGTGACATATGAGCTATGCCCCATTTTCCTATCCTGACCAACACCTTTTTTTTTTTTGAGACAGAGTCTCACTTTGTCACCCTCTGTAGAGTGCTATGGTGCTCTACTCACTGCTCAAGTGATTGTCTGGCCTCAGCCTCCCATGTAGCTGGGACTACAGGTGCCTGCCACAATGCCCAGCTATTTTTAGAGATGAAGTCTTGCTCTGGCTCAAGCTGGTCTCAAACCTGTGAGCTCTGGCAATCCACCTGCCTCGGCCTCCCAGAGTGTAAGAATTACAGGCGTGAGCCACTGCGCCTGGCTCCCTGACCAACACTTATCACTCTTTCTCAACTCTGCTGATCAGAAAGGCCAAAGATCCTATTTCATCATTTAATATTGTGTCTCCTTGATTGTTTGAGGCCGAATGTGTCTTCATCTGTTTATCCATCTCAATCATTTCAATAGCGTGACTGGGACAAACCATACTCGGCCTTCAAGCCTCAGTTTCCACATCTATACAATGGGGGCAGCTGGCCTGGGTCATGGACAGGGTTTCCTTTCATGTAAAAAACATAAAAACATCGCATGCTTTCTGTCTTTTTCATTTTATCCTGTTGTATATTTAGAGGATAATGGACATGCCAAGGATAGACTTACCAGCTCCCACCCACACTGTGCCAAACTGGCCCAAAGTATCAACCAAAGACTGATGGACGTGCTGAGCACCAGTTGTAGAGGAAGGAGCACCAAGTCTACCTGGCAGGAACCTAAAGAGACCACCCTGGCCACAGCATCTTCATTCCTTCCAGACTGGTCTAGGCGTCAGCAAAGTGGGACATATCTCTTTTATACCAGCAGCTACAGGGAAACAAAACCCCGACAGCACAGTCTTGCCAGTCGGCAGGGAAGAGGAGCCCACACGAACACGGTAGTGTCCAGCTCTGAAAATGGTGACTTCCAGGTCCTCATTCCAGCCAACTGTAGAGGCATTTCAGGAGTCACAGAACAGAGTGCATTTTTAAAATGTTTTGTTCCATTCTGACAAACTAAAGGAAATAAATTAAGGTGTCCACCTCACAGTGGCCTCCAGGTCACAGGGCAGGAGGGCCCGATCCCAGCAGTGGTCTCGTTGCCAAGCGGTCTGTACCAAGACCAGGATGGGAGTTGGTAGCGCCAAGTGAGGACCCAGCCATGCCCCTGCGTGGCCACAGAGCCGGACATTCCGACAGTGTCCTAAATGGAGTCGAATCCTTGTGATTTGTATATTTTTTCCCTTAATTTTGGGCATTTTGTTTCTGAGAACATAATTTGAAACACCGCAGAGCCAATAATCATATAAAAGTGGATCCATAAATGTTGTCCAGTTTTATACCCATTCACAACGTACTTCTGCTGCCCTTCAGATAATTTATTTCGCAATACATCATGCACAGTTGTAAATAACTTATGTATTGCAACATCACTTTCAGTTACGTGTAAAGAAATAAATTAATTAAAAAATCTTTCATCTAGTGTGAGTTTAATTTGTGTAAGTGGTGAAAGGTGTAGGTCCAGTTTTGATCTTTGACATGTAGCTATCCAGTTTTCCCAGCACCATTTATTAAACAGGGAACAGTGTATGCTTTTGTTTGGTTTGAGGATGATCAGATGGTATTATGAGGCCGATTTCATGTTCAGGTTCTCACTCTGTTCCCTAAATCTATGTCTCTATTTTTTTTTGCCAGTACCATGCTGCTTTGATCACTACAGACTTGCAGCGTAAGTGAAGTTTGGTAATGTGATCCCTCCTGATTTGTTTTTATTTTCTAGAATCACAATGACTATTCAGGGCTTTTTCTGGTTCCATACGAATCAAAGAACTACCTTTTCAACTTTCTCAAAGTAGGAAAATGGTGTTTTAATGGGAACTGCATTACATCTGAAGATCGCTTTAAGTAATATAGACATTTTTAACAGTGCTGATTCTTCCTAGTCATGAGCATGGGATGTTCTTCCATTTGTTAACGTCTTCTGCTATTTTTCTCCTCAGGGTTTCATAGTTCCTTCTGTAGAGAGCCTTTATACCCTTTGTTAAGTATATCCCAAGATACTCCATTTTCTTTCAGGCTACCGAGAAGGATACTGTATTCGTTCTCAGCTTGACTGTTGTCAGCGTATATGAAGACAACTGATTTGTGGATACTGATTTTATAACCTGAGATGTTATGGTATTTCTTTTCTTTTCTTTCTTTTTATTTTTTTGCAGTTTTTGGCCGGGGCCAGGTTTGAGCTCACCACCTCTGGTATATGGGGCTGGCACCCTACTCCTTGAGCCACAGGTGCCACCCTATAGTATTTCTTGATCACTTCCAGGATTGGTTGAAGTGGTTGAGTCCCTGGGGTTTTCTAAGTATAAGATCATATCATTAGCAAAAAGCAAAGCTTTGACCTATGCTGTCCCCATTTGGATTCCCTTGATATCCTTTTCTCCTGCCTAATTCCATTAGCTAGGACTTCCAGTACTCTGTTGAATAGCAGTGTGATAGTGGACATCATTTGTCTGGTTTATCAGAGAACTGAAAATCAAAACCACTTTGAGGTATCACCTAACACCACTGAGAATACCCCACATCACAAGGTCCCAAAGCTGGAGATGCTGGCGTGGGTGCAGAGAGAAAGGAACACTTATGTAGTCTTGGTGGAATTGCAAACTACTATAACCTTTTTGGAAAGAAGTATGGAGAATCCTCAAAGAACTAAAAGTAGATCTCTCATTTGATCCTGCAATCCCATTACTAGGTATTCACACAGAAAAAAAAAATCATTTTACCATAAGGACATCTGCACTTGAATGTTTACAGGAGCTCAATTCACAACCACGAAGACCTGGAAACCACCCAAGTGCCCTTCAACTCTTAATAGATTGATAAACTGTGGTATGTGTATATCATAAAAAAGACACAGACTTTGCATCTTTTGTGTTTACCTGGATGGATTTGGAAAACATTCTCCTAAGTATCTCAAGAACGGAAAAGCAAGCAGCCCAGGTACTCAGTTCTAATCTGAAACTGGTAGATGAACAACTACAGGTCCCCACAAGAAAAAAACACAAAATCAAGAAGGGGGAGGGGAGCAGGGGGTTCAGTAAGTTGCCACCTACTGGGTACAATGCAGGGGTATACAGCACACTTCCTGGGTAAAGGATACAACTACATCTCAGACTTTGGATTTCACTAACACAAATAATGTAACCTAATCATTCGTACCCTCATACTAATGTGAAAAAAAAAAAAAAAGACTGATGGATGACAAAACCATACTCCCAACCCGAGAATTACTGCTATGGTTCATTTCAGGTCCTTAGTATAAGGAGTGTACGAACATGCCACACAACCTCCTCCTAATACCCTTCAACTGAGAAACAGCTAGAAATGGCTTCTCCCGAGATGATGACGTTACTGTTGAGTCTCAGAACAGGGGCTGGGGATTTACTCAGCCAGGAATACTTGCCCCCTCTTAACCAGAAGGTGAGGCGGAGGGGCTGATGAGCTGGACCAGAGGGTCTGAGGCCACTTTCCTGCTTTCCAGAACACACCTAAGAATAAGGCTCAGTGTCATGGATTAACCTACTATAACTAAATACTTCTCTTGCTAATAAGTGTAAGAATTCATCAGTATCTGAAACAAGAAAAATTCTCAGTCTTATTTTTTAACTTTTTACTGTTTTCTGATTTTTTAACTTGGGGCCTTTTACTGGGCACAAGAGGTTCTAACCCATAGAATACATATCACCCACCACAACTCACTTCTCCATTAATACCAAACTATTATCGAGGAGCTCATTAATTTAGTTTCCATAAAGAGAAAAGTGGATGTTCACCTGAGTGCTAACAAAGCCTCCACAACGGTCTCACCCACAGCACTCTCGTATCAAGCCCAAGACACTAACCTCCCTTTGTCCCCAGTCAGTCCATATGCCATTGGCAAGTGCCCATCACATGCCCCGGTGGGTGGGCACTGGATATAAAAGGTACAGACTCTACCCAGCCGTCAAGGGCTCATCTTCTAACAGTAAGACTCACCTTTCCAAAGGCCATTTACCTGGTACTGTAAC